TGGGGGTGGGGGGGCAGTGCCTGGTTCACAGCCCAGGCCCACGTGGGCGGAAGGCCCAGCTCACTCGGGGTCAGGTCCCAGGCAGGGCCACCCCCCGGGACAGGAGCGGCTCACATCCTCCATCTCCCGTGTCAGCATGTCCCCGAGGGGCCTGGGGGCGGGCCTTCCTGTGCCCAAGGCCCCATCAGCCCAGACCGTGTCCAAGGGGGACAAGCCAAGGCCCCTCTCAGCCCCTGAAGCCTGGGGGCCTCCTGCCGGGCAGAGGGGGGCAGGGGAGACCTCAGAGGTGTTGCAGGCAGCAGAATAGAAACAATAGGGACAGTTCTCTGTATCCGATTAGGAACCAGCTGTGTCCGGCGTCCCTCCCACACCGGCCTGAACCTACAAGTTCTCTGAGGTCAGACTCAGCTGAGCTAGAGCTGCATCGCCAGGCCCTCCCGTAATAAGCCCGTTTAGAGCCGGGATCTTAAAAACCAACATAGAAGAGGGTTCCTGGGGGAAAGAAATACATAGGCCCTGAGAAGGAGTTGGCGGGAAACTTGTTCAGACTGTCGCTCAAAAATGACAAACCAACCCTGGCCGGTGTGGCTCAGTGGATAGAGCGTTGGGCTTCGGACTGAGGGGTCCCGGATTCCATTCCGGTCCAGGGCACATGCCCTGATTGTGGGCTCCATCCCCAGTGGGGGGCGTGCAGGAGGCAGCCGATCCATGATTCTCTCTCATCATGGATGTTTCTCTCTCTCTTTCCCTCTCCCTTCCTCTCTGAAATCAGTAAAAATATATTTTTAAAAAATGACAAACTAGTTTCTGAAACCAAGTTTGCAAACAAAGTTGGCCACGAACTTGTGCTTTCCACCTTCCCGAATGGACATTTTTTCCCCCAAAAAAAGTGAGTGAATGCTGCCACCCTGTGGACAGGAGCGGTATTGCAGGGGCAGAAAAGAGGAGGGATTTGATCTGTTTCTCAGACTGGGACGCACCCAGCCACGTTCCCTCCCAGCCCCGCCAGCACCTACAAAACTCACCCAGTGGGTTTGTCCCTGCGCCGGTGGCACTGCCGTGGCCTCTGACAATAAACCAAGCCCGAGCCAGGATTTAAAACAACAGCCGAATCCCGGCCGGTGTGGCTCAGTGGATAGAGCGTCGGCCTGCGGACTCAGGGGTCCCGGGTTCGACTGTGGTCAAGGGCGTGTGCCTTGGTTGCAGGCACATCCCCAGTGGGGGGCATGCAGGAGGCAGCTGATCGATGTTTCTCTCCCATCGATGTTTCTAACTCTCTATCCCTCTCCCTTCCTCTCTATGAAAAATCAAAATACATTTTAAAAAAATAAATAGCCGAAGCCTAGCCGGCGTGGCTCCATAGCTGAGCGTCAACCCAGAAACCCAGAGGTCAGGGTTCGATTCCCGGTCAGGGCACATGCCCGGGTTGCAGGCTCCATCCCCAGGGTGGGCCGTGCAGGAGGCAGCCAATCCAGGATGTTTTTCTCTCACCCATGTTTCTGTCTCTCTTCCTCTCCCTTCCTCTCTCTCTAAAAGTCAACTTAAACGTTATTTTAAAAAATAATAAGTTTAAAAACAGCCATATAAGAGAATTCAGTGGGGATGGAACCACAAGTATAGAAGCCCTCCAGAGGGATGAGAAGGGAGAGGGAGTCAAAGAGAAACATCCATGATGAGAGAGAATCATGGACCGGCTGCCTCCTACACGCCCCACACTGGGGATCGAGCCGGCAATCTGGGCAGGTGCCCTTGACCGGGAATTGAACCCGACCTCCTGGCTCATAGGTCGGCGCTCAACCACTGAGCCACGCCGGCCAGCTTCCCTCCCCGATGCACCAGAACTTACAGAACTAAGTAAAGTCATTCTTGTCTGAGCCGGCTGCATTGCCGGGTTCTCCAACAATAAGCCATCCCAGAGCCAGGATAAAGGAAACAGCCCCATGAAGGGCTCAGAAGGGGAAGCAGTAAGTGCAAAGGCCCTGGGGTACGTCACCGGATCCCCCCCCTCCCCCAATGACCCACTGCTTTCCTAAGGCTCCTGGGAACTCATCGAGGCTCTGAGCAAAGTCCAAGACTCTGGTCCTCTTACCCAACAGCATTTGTAAAAAGCAGGTCGATGGCGCCACCTTGTGGACACAAGCGAAATGCAGCCGTCAGAACAGGGACTGTTGTCTGTGTTCTCAGGTTGGGGGGGAGCTGTGTCCTATTTCTCTCTCAGACGAGCCAGAATTCACAGCAATAACTGAAGTCGGTGTTCCCCGAGCCAGCTGCGGTGCCCTGTCCTCCAGAAATAAGCCATTCCAGACCCATTATTAACGAAAACGGCCGCATATAGAGCGTCGAGGGGCACTCACAGGACGTGCAAAGGTCCTGAGGCAGAAATGAAGTCAGTTTCTTCTGTGGGTGGACAGGGCTGGTGGTCGGATGGACCAGGAGCCGGTTGATGAACTAGGGACGTCTCCTGTACGCCCATCTTCCTCCCCCTGCTGCTGTCTCTGCCTCCCACGTTTCAGACTTTTAAATCCCAGCGGCCTGCGTCTTAGCTGTTCACCTCCATCTCCTTTTCTCTGACACATCGCCCGCCTCCTGGGCTGTGGGTGATAAAGTGAGATCGAACCTCTCCGTGCCCAGCACACTGGGCTCCTTCCTGCTCCCGACCCCTTTGTTGGGGGACCCTGCTGAGAATTGGGGGGTGCCAGGCTTTCTCCCCAGACCTGGCTGGGCCCGGCACCCCTCCCTCCCGGGGCGGCCGCCCGAG